GCTTTGTTGTTTTATTAATTTGGCTGAATTGTGAAGCACTTTGGTCAACTCTTGTTGTTTTTACGTGCTAAATAAATAAATTGACACTGACATTTATAACAATAAAAGTTCTTAACCTCACTGGCATTTTGTGTGTTTTAGGTAGGAAATGTGTTTTGTCTCTAACTGTGTATAACTTTTTTAAATGTACTGAGACCATACCACTTGAGGTTTACACTACTCACATTRCATTAAAACATTCAGTAAAAGTATTTTAATCCATTTTCATATTTAAAAAAACACTTTTTTCTTTCAAAAGTACTTTTTAAAAGTGGAAATAGAAAACCACTGCTGGATCACCTTGCTGAGAATAATCTCTGGAGCCAGATATTCTGGGGTGCCACACAGTGTCCAGGTCCGGCCCTTTACACGTTTAGCAAAGCCAAAATCTGTAACCTGAGAGATGAAGAGAAAGAAACGACAAAAAATGAGACAGATGTTTACTCTTGAGAGAACAGAGAAGAAAGAAAGAAAGAAAAAACCCATCAAGAAGCAGAAAGGGCGAATGTGTCAGCAGCTGCTGTTTCACAAACAACCACAAAGGGGCAGCACAGTCATTAAGCCAAACAATTGTGACTTCCACATTTATTTAACTTATTTAACATCATACAGTMAAATGTGGGGAAAAGAACCCTATAAACAGCTGATTAGGGAGCCTGTGTGTAAATAACATTATTGCAAAATGTGTTTGAGAAAACTGCTGTTTATGTGACCACAGCAGCAAATCACTAAACTTTAGAGATGATGATTTAAAGACAGKCATGGTCTGCATCATGAATACTTCATGCTCAGGTTACCAGACATCATCTTGCAGACAGATCATGTCATCTAACATGTCCTCAGACCATTATCTAATAAATATATACTATTAAAAATACTAATGTCATCTAGATTTGGTGATGTCTCAGTGAAGTGTTGGAGGGATTGTAGGAGATTATCCTCATGTTGTCCAAAATTATTAAACTACTGGAAAGATATTAAAGGTGAAATTGTTACATGTTTGGGTATTATAATTCCTCTAGAACAATCTTTTATTTTACTAGGAGTTTTTCAGAATAAACTCTGAAATAATCTCCAATTTTATCCTTAATGATTRTACTTGTACTTGCTAAGAAAATGACTGTTTTCCTGGTTAAAACCACAATATCTCAGTGGAGAAAAGGGTTAAGTATACTGTTTTATATGSAGACAATCACAGCAAAATGGCAAATGAAACTTGAAAGATTACTGAAAAGTGGTCTCCAACTCAAACATAATCTCAAAGTTCATTTAATGAAAGTGTTAATTTGAGATTGATATAATGACCTTTTACATGCCAGATAACTTGAGCTTTGGACTAACAGAGGTTTATAAAGAGTATTATATAAGGCATGGTTTATGTTCTACATGGTTTATGTTGCTGAAGATGTTGCATCTGTTGATAATGCAATTTGTATTGGAGGTGTGGCAACACAAACTGACAAACTAATAAAATAAATATAAACACTGTGTKTAAAGTACAATATAAAAGTACTTTATGTTATGTTATAAATACATGCTAATTTGGAAGTAATGTAAACTGGATGCAAAGTGGAACAAAGTGATTTTTGTAAAAAAAAATACCTGAAAAATCAATGAATACCACCTTTAAAGTAGTTACCAGTAACTTGATTCTCTAAATCAGTAGTTTCCAACCTACCGGTATTTTCCTCAAATCCCCCCTTTCTCACTTCAAAGCCAATCTCTGTCTCTTAAATGGTCATATTTAAATTTTTTATATAATTTTTCTCCAAAGTATTTTTATTTCCATGTGTTCTTTTACAACATTACCTTATACATTTCTGCCTCATTATTCAAATAAGATGGGCGGTCCTTCTTGGGTCAGCTGCTCTCCTATTGGTCAACAGGCAGGAAGGAGCAGAAACCATGTGCAGATCTACTGTGCATGCTGGTGCTCCCTCTGTTTAGCTTAAATTTTAAAGTTTAGTTTAAATCAAAGACACAGTTTTTTTTCCTTCTTGCCT